GTTCTTGTCTGTTCTCTCCGTGTTTGACATGAGATCTTTCACCAGATTCCATGAGTTCTTAGAGTTACTAAGACAAGCTTTGCGTCTCCATGTGTACATGGAAGCTTCTACTCTATCTGCTAACTGAACAGCTTCATGCTCAGAGGCTATGTTCAAACAATCTAAGAGTTGTTCTGGGAAAAACCTACCCGAACTACTCATGTAACGGTAAATTGAATCTCCAACACTGCTTTTACCACACTGCATAGATTGACCATCCAAAAGGACTTAATAACAAGACTCAAAACCAAATCTTCAAGATTGTTTTTGGTTTGAATATAACACAAACCTTTGGAAGAGTTGCCATGTAAGACTCTGGAATCTCCATGTCACTGAGAATGCTACTGTTGATAGCTAAAGCAGCTTTGTGAATCTGATTGGTACTCTCTCTCTTGTTTTTGAGTTGTTTTCTTGCTTTATCTGACAAACCTTCTGATGGAACTAAAGGAACTGGCAACCACCATTTCTCTTCTTTCCTCTGTACTACAACTTTCCGGAAAGATCCAGTCGCAGAACGCGCTGATTTCATCGATAAACTTCCTTCTTCTGCATACCAAAACTCTGTGTTTTGGAAACTATCCAATGCTTCCTGTAACAAACGTAGAACAAAACAATAGTATATTATTATTTTTGATTTGTAATGAGCAGACCAAATAACCATATGAATATGTACCATAAGCATTGAATCTAGCTTTCTCAATGCGGGTAAGTTGATATAGATATCTGCTCTTGGTCTACTCTCCATCACCTGAAACAAAAAAAATTCATCTTTTTTCCATTTCTTATTTCAGTTTTCTTCAGACAAAATATTTGACAAGTTAGTTTACCTCAACAGTAGCTCCATTGCTTAAATTCTGACATCTAGGGATGAATTCGACTATGTAATCGCATACCGACAAAAGACAATTCATTTCTCTCTTCCACAATGCCCTCTTCTCTGTTTCTAAAGGCTCTAACCTCAGATTCTGTCCAAACACTGTAGCTGCAAATAATTAGAAAAAAAAAAAAAATCATAATCAAAATTTATGCATCTGATTAAGAATATTTTACAGTTGTCTGAAACTAGAACACAAGCTGTTTCTTTACCATAAAGATTTGTAATTGCGTTTGAGATGGTGACTGCAGTGCAAACTCCTTTACCACTTCCGGACATATCTTCTCCAAGTAGAAGCTTTGCGAATCTTTCCTTCATCGTCTCAAGTTCTGCACACACATAACAACACATTTTAATCTCAAGAAAGAAGTAGAAAACAGAGAGAAAGACAGAGAGAACACAGTACCTGGTTCTGAAATTTCTTGGACTGCAAGATTTTCATTTGATTGCATCTCTAAAGCAGTGAGACATTTGGAGCTCTTAGATTCAGTGAGAACAGGCCAATCACAAGGAGAAGCTTCACTACAGAAGCTGTTTGTTTCATCTATATGGTCTGAAAACCCTGAAGTACTCTCTGAACAAGTTCGAGGATAAACAAATGAATCTATGCTCATCGTCGAGTAAACCGGAGTTTCTGATGCTGATTGATCATTTTGGTCGATGGATCGAGGTGATTGATGATAACCCGCATCTTCGTTTTCTTCGAGATTCGATAAATTCTCCATCTTTAAGCTCAAAACTCCTCAAAGTCTCTCTCTTTTTGTTCTTGATCTGTTTCTTCTGAAGATGATGTAACACACAAAAATGTAATTATAGCTTAAAGATCGGTGTGATTATCAAGAAACTTTAGAATACGAATCGG